GTGAACAGACTAATTCAATCACTGTATAAATTTGGCAGGAACTTGACTGTAGATAACTGGAGCATGATTAAACTACTAGATGAGGATCTTCCAAAAGAAAAACTGACAACAGTGGGAACAATATGGGGGGGAAAAAAGAAATTTCTCCTTATGTTACTTCTTAAGGAATAGATACATTTTCCAAACTGTTAGCTTTCTAAAAAGATAACTAATGAAGTCTAGCGTTAGGAATGGAGACAAACAAATAAGCAGAGATTCATCTGGATTAACATATATTGAAATACAAAATCATTAAGCACAGTAAGTTTTACATGGTAAGCATGGTAAAGTAAACCATTGACGACAACTGAAACCGTTGCCAAAAAAACAAGAAATAAAAATCGTGTTGCCACACATGTTGCAAAATACAAATGGGAAATATAATCACAAATTAAAAGTTATTTACAACACTTCCCCTTAATTAAATTTCCCTCAGTCCTACACTGATTGAACAAGGCTTTCTTTCGCATACTCTTTGTTAATACGTCTGCTGCATTTGAACTGGAAGGCACATAGGTAAAGTTCAAAAACTTCTCTTCAACGTTCTCCTTCAAGAAAAATGCCTGAGTTCAATATGTTTGTTACGCTCTGAAGTGACAGGTTTTAGCTAAAGAAAGGCACATGATTATCAACCAAATAAGTTTTGTGGAAAGTTAAAAATGTTCTCCTAAAATTTTCCTTTAAAAATTTTGGATATTTCGACCTAGATCTAAGGTGTGTGAGCCTATCTTGCATATAGTTGTTTCCAGAGCTCACTAGCATAGACACTTTGGTCAAGAGTCACACAGGACATATTCCTCTGCTTATGATAAATTGAAAGAAGGTGATGTATTTCTCCCAAGTCCTTGATTTAAATGTGGCTTGCAATATTGTCCTTTAATTCCTGAATGATTAAATCTTTGTGACATTACAAGGTGACCATCCACATCAAACCTACGATTAACTCCTTTCTTTATTGAAGAAACACAAGGATTGCTCTGGATCTTGTTAAGTTCACTGATTTCAGAAATTTACCGAGGCAGATATTTCAGTCTCTCCCAGACTGATGAAGTCCATAAAGGCTTCTCTTTAGCAAGCAAACTTCTCTATGTGTTTTCTGGTGCAGACTCACTGTGGCTGTTCCTGAAAATTGTCTCACTGAATTTTCCATTTAAATAGGCTGCAGTAATATCCAATTGATGAAACTGCCAGTCTTGCTCAACTGAGAATCCTAATAAAGTTCTAATTGATTTTGTTTTTATTACATGAGAAAATGTCTCTTTGTAGTCATTCCTTCGACTTGGGTGTAGCAAGAGCAACTAAAGAGCTTATCTTTCACTTGTCATCTGTTAAGTTTCTCTTGAAGACCCACTGCATTTCATGACTTTCCTTTTTCTGGCCTAGGCATGTCCAAGTTCATTTTTAAAATTCCAACTCTTCTTCCATGGCTAATTCCATTTTTCGCATCTGGACTAGTTAGTGCCTCTTCTAAAGTTCAAGATCACTCTGGAAAGGTTTCTTGGGTTTGAGCCTGTTTTTGTTTTGGATTATCGCTGCCCTGCATCACTTGTAATTCCATTATTTCTGGAAGATTTTCTTCATAATCTATAATTTTCTAACATAAATCCTTTGTCACTTAGGCCTGAAATTGTTTTAGGTCGCGTCTCGTTTCTGGTATTCCTCACTTCCTCTTTTCTGAGAGCCTTGGCTCCACTTTGTTTAATTTATCATCTGAGATGTGTTTTTTCAGAAACTGTTTGCAGGGCAATGTTAAATGTTTCCTGTATGGAAGTTTCTCTTCAAAATGAAATCTCGGGATCATCCCAAGAAGATAGCCTTAGTTGTCTTTTTGTCATCTTTCTCCTCTTCTGAAATGGGACATTAACATAGCAGTCAACCAATGATACATAGTGTTTTATTATGGTTTCTTCCCACCATAATTCATAAGGACTTAACGGAACTGAAGACTTGCCTGTCTATTCATATATAAACGAAGTACTGACGAATTCTGCAAATAGGGACTGAAAGTTCACTTTCATTTGAGTATTGAGATTCTGGCCATTTCTAGAACTTTGTTCGCTCGTTCAGCACTGCCATTTTGCTCTGGGTATATGGAGCGTGAGCCTCTGGGAGATTCCAGTTTGTTCAGATCCCAACGGCTGGGTGTCAATTCTCCACCATCTCACTGAGGATTTCTTTAACTATTGCTAAGTTTTAGCATGAATATGAAGTTTCAAGCACATCTTTTACTTAGATATGTGCTTTTAAAAAAAAACACGGACGAATTGGTGTGGGCATCTTTGAAGATTGAAAAGCAATGGTTTTCTTAAATGATTGATCAAATGTCCCGCAAATGTCTGTTAAGAATAATTCTCCAGCTTTTGTAATCTCTTTCCTGGTTCCAAACTTTAAATGGTGAGCTTTCCCATATACACAAGCTTCACATCCGCATAACAGCTTAACTGATATCTTTGCAGCTTCCATTAACTTCATATCAGACTTAATATGCAACTCTTTCTCAACAATGGATTTACATGCTTTTATCTTGGTGCCCCAAGTTCATGATAAGTTGGAGAGTTTATTCATTATTCAGTCATGTTATGTCAATGTGAGTTTCAGGAACTAAGGTCTTCATCACGGCTTTAAGAGACCCCCACCAGCATTTCTTGTACAAGTAGAAATATTTCACCATCTATTTTAAATAGCAATCCTAAATGTTGATTCAAACACACGTTGGTTCTATCTGAGAGCTAACATAAAATAGATTTTACTTATTTCTGGAACACACCAGACATTTCAAGACTTTTGATTGATTCATCCCACACCCCACCCAACCCACCCCACCCCCCCCCCCCCCCCCCCCCCCCCCCCCCCCCACCCCCCCCCCCCCCCCCCCCCCCCCCCCCCCCCCCCCCCCCCCCCCCCCCCCCCCCCCCCCCCCCCCCCTTTACAATGGTATTATCTTGATAGTGCCCTTTCCAGTTGTGGTAATGACTTTCAATTTGCTACAGTGATGCTATGGAAGCTTAAATTTTAAAATTAAACTAAAATTAAAGTCTAAAAAATAGTGATTGTTATTGACAACATGGTTTGAGGCCTCATTATCAATAAATCAATCATCAGAATTTGTTTCTGCAGAAAATATTGCCTCATCTACAGCTAGAAGTGTCATATTTGCAGCAACACTGTTCTTACTTCCTTTGTTTGGCCCTGTATGTGGACTAGGTTTTGGTGGTATTCCCTCAGTTATCCATTTCCTGCATGTTCAAACCCAGTGTCCACTCTGGCGGCAATAATTGCACTTGTCATTGCTTTTCCTGTATCGATGATTTCCGCTTAAATTCCGAATTTGCTATCAATGCTTCCTGATCTAAAGTTTAAAAAATTGGATCTGTCCTTAATTCTTCAGGGTGCAAAACTGTGTGGTTAATTCGTCAAAGTTTCTTTTCATGATTAAGAGTAACTAACTCGATTTGAAAGTACGATAACTGGAGGGAGTATCCAATTTTACAATCAACAGCATTCTGGCAATCTGTTTTCTTCCTTATTTTCAAGTCCACTGTTCAGTTCATTCCACAGACTTTTCAATTTTGATAAATGAGCTGCCATAACATCATCTTACCAATTGAATTTGAAGAACTGTAAACATATGTTATAAAATTTATTATCAGACAAATCTTCGAATACTTTGTGAAGTTCCAGCCAAATGTCTCTTGCGCTTCAAATCTCATTACATTTTGTAAAGTATCTTCAGTCATGGAGTTCGTAAGAATCATCATAGTGCACTTATTCGCTTTTTTAAAAACCTTCATGCCATCTCTGAATCGCTTTCGAATCTCTTTGGCGGCCACATGATCAGGCTTCTTCAATTTTCCTTCTTCAACTTCTAAAGTGCTTTTGTGATAATTTAATACGAAATTAATTCAATATTTCCAAATAGGCCAATCGCTTTTTCCGCATAACAGCTTAACTGATATCTTTGCAGCTTCCATTTTCGCGAACTAATTTGCTGACTCGCGTAAGGCTTAAGAACTGCCTTGTTAGGCTTACAAACTGCCACTAATGTTTATCTCCCATTTGCTTCTAAATTTTTCTATGCAGTTAGCATGCTGGGGACATAACCTAATGAAGTCTAGCATTAGGAATGGAGACAAATAAATAAGCAGAGATTCATCTGGATTAACATATATTGAAATACAAAATCATTATACGCACAATAAGTTTTACATGGTAAGCATGGTAAAGTAAACCATTGACAACAACTGAAACCGTTGCCAAAAAAACAAGAAATAAAAATCGTGTTGCCACACATGTTGCAAAATACAAATGGGAAATATAATCATAAATTAAAAGTTATTTACAACACTTCCCCTTGATTAAATTATCAGATAGCCTGGCTCAGTAAAAGTAGGCGGCCAGTGTAAATCCGATTCAAAATCCGGTTACGGCCACGTGTGTGCTGATAATGACCCCGTGTTTCTGAGATTCCTTTGCCAATGCTTTATTTTTCTTTTTCCCTTTTCTAGTCATTTCGTTCTCCTAATGAGGAGGGACCTTTAGCTGCCCTCGAAATCGATTGAGTGTTTTAATATATGTATGCTAAATACAAAGGTTGGTATTGTGATTTTAATTGACACATGAATGTATTTTGTTCAAACTGCATACACATAACATAAGCATTCTGTTTCAAAGATCCAATAAAGCATAGAGGTATCACACTTATATTATTAGTATTTTCATTTATTCGAAGTAATTTTAATTGTCTATAAAACTTATTTTTGAAAGCATTATTTCATTACTGAAATTTTTCACACATCAACTAAATTTTAAAAAAAGTTTTAAAAACTAAATAATACTATTTGTATTTTATTTTAAGCACTGGGGTAGGAGATACCTCACATGACCATTCAAGCAAATTTCAGGACCAAGCTTCCTCAGTGTTAATTAATATTGCTTTATTTACAAAATAAAATAAAATATACCTGCTTTTTCTGGTAAGTCATTAATCTTGCTCTATGATTCTTTTGAAATTCAAAAACCTAGAAAATTATCATATCTTATTATATGCAAAAATAACTCTAAAATTCATAATTAAATAAGTGCATGAAAAGTTTTATTATAAATATCATTAAACTAATCTATAGTACACGGCATGTTTTTAAAATAAGTACCATTTCAAAATTTGGCATGGCAATGCTGCAACAGACATTCTGCACATGCACGCTATTTACCTACATCTGTTGGGAAGACAAAGCTACCATTACAGAAATTTTCAACCAAGTTTGTTTTTGGTATTTAAAATGGCTCCGCCGATAGAGAATCTATACAACTGTCGAATATGATCAATGATTTGTTTCCTTACCACTAAAAACATGAAAGCGGCTGAAATTTATCATTATGGAAAAAACATTATTGAGTGATGAAATGGTACATAAATAAGTTACAGCATTTAAAGAACCTTATACGAATGTTCATGCTGATGAACAAAGTGAGCAAATTTGTGCCATTAATTGAAGACCTGGTGTAGAATGCTGATGAACAAGTGAAACAGAACAGATGTTTTATGATTTCATCATTGTTTGATGGCTTACCTAAGGTTTCACACAAAGTTCTATATGAAATTGTGAGTGAATGCTTAAATTACTAAAAATTGTGCACACCAAAAACATTGACAGAAGTATGCAAAACCAAACGTTTGAATAGTGCTTTAACTTTTCATCAGCAGTACAGTCAGGAAGGTGATGATTTTTTAAGCCAAATTGGCATTAGGCAACAAAAACCTGGGTGGCTTGTGCTACACCAGAATCGAAGCAGCAATCCACAGAATAGTGGCATTCATTATCATCTAAGAGAGTGAAGTTCAGACAAACAGTTTCAGTCCAGAAAATTATTAATACTGTGTTTCAGGACATGAAGGGATGTTGCTTATGGATTTTTGCCTCAAAATCTCATTGCGTCATTTCGCTAGGAGCATCTCGATCACCCTCCATACAGTCCTGATCTAGTGCCCAGTGACTACCTCCTGCTCCTGCATTTGAAGAAGCACCTAGTTGGCCTTCACCAAAACAATAATGACGAAGTCTAAACGATGGTGCTGCAATGGATATCAAATCAAGCAGCAGACATTAATAAAGAAGGAACTCAAAAACTGGTTGTATAGTATAAGTGCTTTAATATCAGTGGAAATTATGCATAAAATTAGACTGAGGTATAGGCTTTCATATATATATATATAAAACTGTTAAAAAAATTCTATTTGTTTCTTTTTTTATTTTCAAGCAGTACTTACTATAAAAATCTGCCTCAAACATAACAAATTACAGTTCTTGACTTCAGACAAACATTAACAAGAAAATATATATTTATGAAATAACATCTTATGAATGAAAATTATTCATATGCATGTATACAAAAAGTTACTGAAACCTGTTAAATAACCTAATACTTTTCAACTAGGATGTATATATATGCATTACTGCAAATAAAATAGTCCATTAGAAGGTAATGGAAATAGAAGAGAATAAAAGGAAGAATTCTTGTTTAGCTCCAACAGCATTAAAGCTTTGCTGCCAACATGTGGCAAGGTCATTTATACCATATTTGTAAAAATCAGCAGCTCTGGAAGTGATGAAGTCTTCCACTGCTCAATAGATAAATGAATTATCAGTAGGCTCAAGCGCCAGAAATTTAGTTAATAGCTCAAGTGCTAGGGCAATGTTCAGACAGTAGAATGGAAGATGAGACCCAATTTCATATCCTTAAATCCTCTGTTGATTTGCTATGTAAGTGGTCAGGTGTTATCCCAAACAGTGGTGTAACTAGAAATCTTGCCACCTCCTTCAATGATTTACAGTGTTCCAAGAAAAGCATACAAAGTAAAAAAAAAATTAAAGGATTCCAGAAGCTGATGTTTTGATAAAGACTTTTATCAGAATTGAATTAACTGTTAAAAAAAGTGTGTTCTGAGGACCCATTTTATGCCCCTCCAATAGAGGTACAACATGAGAAATGCATAAAAAGGAGAATATGTTTCCTGCAAAAATTGTGAAATGTCCATTTGTCTTTATTTGGGTATATTTTTTAGCATCAGATGGTTTTAATGAGCTTATTTTATTATTTATTTATTTATTTATTTATTATTATTATTATTACTGTTTACTTGCGTGTGAGAGAGCATTTTTTTCTTTCACTGGAATATATACTGATAACGAATGAATAAGTCTATATGAAAAAGAAATGCGAATGGAAAATATAACATAATGAAGAATATAATGAAGAAGAAAACTTAAGGTTTTTTTAGGATATTTAATGTAAAATTACTAGAATTTACATAAAAATATATTTTGAGCTTTTATACAAAATCTACACCAATCTAAGTTTTTTGCTTAAGTTTAATGCATGTATCATTTAGAGTTTATATATTTATTTTTTGGTATATTATTGAATATGTCATATTTGTAACCTGACTTTATCATGATGCACGGCATATTACTATAATTTTGTTTCATATATTTACCTATTATCTTGTTTGTGTTTTAGTTTATAGTATAACCAGTTATTTATTAATTTGTTAAAACACATTTATCAGAAACTTCATAAGTACACAGTTTCAATAAACTGTTTTTAAGAAAATGCACAAAGCTTTTTTTGCTTGCCTTGTTTACTTTCTTTTGATATGATAATTTTGATATGTTTGATACTTGAATATATTATTTTTATAAAAAATAAGTGTGCTCATTGTATCAGTGCCCTGTGGTTCTCATGTTGTATTGAGACTTCATTTTCTCCATCACCAAGTTGACTCATTTTCATGCAAAATTATGTATCACTTCAAACCCTGCCTGGAGATCTTGAACGTACTTCTCAGTCAATGAAGGTGCATCTGGAGGGTAACCAAACAAAAGATCACAATGTAGACAAAGGTCCCAAACAAACAACAACTGGGACGGAGAATAGCCAGCAGTCTCATGAACAGAACAATGACAGGCCAGTAAGAACAGAGGAACTTTTCATCCCAGTCCTGTTGGTTTCTCAAAACAATCATTGATAGGTTATTAAGTAGGGTTCGATTAAATTTCTTTACCATACCGTCTGGCTCTGGATGTAAAGCTGTCCCTTTTCTTGGATTTTGTCAATGGCGAGTAATTTATAGAATTCTTTAATTACAGTGCAGATAAAATTCTTTCCTTAATCAGAATATAACTGACGAAACACTCCAAACTTGGAAATCTTATGCTGCATCATTACCTCTGCTACTGTGGCAGCCTCTAGATCATGGATAAAATACACTTCAGGCCACTTTGTAAAGCAGTCAATAAAAACAAGGATGTATTTGTTGCCATTAGCAACTCATGGCAGAAGCCTCAGGATATCGAAAGCGATGCATTCAAAAGGCGCTCCTACACTGTAATGCTGCAGCTTCCCTTGGCTGTGTTTCTTCGGTCCTTTTGCACAAGACTGACACCACTTTTGAATATCAGCCCTTGTTTTACTTCAGAAGAAACACTCTTGAACTCTATACAAAATCTTCATTATTCCGAAGTGGCCTTCTGTCAGACTGCTAAGTAGTTCTTTCAAAATGTTCAGGATACAGAAGCTTGAAAGTAGCAGCTGCCACTGGAATGCCTTTTCATCACCCAATCCGAACTTCCAGTACAAGATGCCATTTTGAATACGGAGCGAGTCCTAGAGAGCTCAATAATGCTTTGTCATAGGAAAATAGATCAAAATGTCCTAGTAGGTTTTCTATTTGAAGACTCCATTGAGTCACTTACCGGTTTAATGTCACTGTCTTCCAATTGGTCTTTCTTGACTTATTCATCACTCCATGGGATTGGGTAAGACAATGCTGATGTTCTAACTTGACATGTGACCAGATTAACCAGCTTGTATTTACTTTCAACACTAGAATAATATCAGCAGCTTTCTGAGCAGGGTTTTCTAGACCGGAAGTTGACATTTCCATGTGACGATCCTTTCTGATGATGGATATTGATGCCATATCAATGAAGTCCCCATAACCATCTGGCTATTTGGCCTTCAGTGTTCTTGAAATTTAATAGCTAGGTCAACAATGCATCATCTATGTGGAGAGGAATTTTCTGCTGTACACGTAATGGTGGAAATGCACTACTGCATTAACTATGGCCAGCAAATCTTTTCTGTTGAAAAGTTATTTCTCTTCAGTTTAGATAGACACCTGCTCAAGTATGCTACATGTACTTGATCATTTATATCTTAAGACAAAACAGCATTGACACTCTCATTGATCGCATCTGTGCCAAGAATAAACGCTTTACCAAACTGAGAATACATCAGATTTGTCGCAGATGTTAAAGCCTCCTTTAATTTGTTAAACGCATTCTCACATTCTTTTGTCCACCAGAACTTTTGCTTGCTCTCTGCCAATTTGCATCTCTGCATGGTCTCCATAAGACATTTGAATGTTGCTGCATATTACATAACCTAAATGTCATTACCTTGAACTGTCAAAGTCCTTGTTCAGTAGAAAACGGCATTTTTTCTCATCATCATAGTGTATCTCTACCTAGTCTCTACCTACCAATATCCACTCTTTAAATCAAGCACCAAAATCCACCTGCTTCCAGAAAGAAAGGAGAGGGTAGCTGTCCTTCTTCGAGATGTGTAGTCCGTGCTAGTCAACACAAAATCTAATTGAACCATTTTTCTTTCTGACCAGGATGATGGGAGAGGCTCAAGGACTTGCTGAAGCTCAATGATATTGCTTTCTTGCATATCCTTTAGAAGTTTTCTACCTCTTCCTGTTTAGCAATTAGTAGCATTTTGAATGTTGCTTGATTGGTGGATGATCTCCCAAATCAATTCTATGCTGCGCAAAACTAGTTTGACTTACGCAGGAGATGTACGGGAGAAAACCTCTTGAAATTCAGGAATGAAACATTCTACAACAATTCTCACATCATCACTTAGTTCCACATCCTGCAATAATTATGATGTCATGGTTCTCCAAAGAGAAAGAGACTGAAGAATTATTGGTTCATTTAATGCAGGTTATTGG